CCTGACGATGCGGCCTCTGTTGGCCCTGAACAATGCAAATTCAGTGCGCGCGGCACTTGTGACCGGACTAGCAGGGCGGATGTCGAGGCGAGCCCAGCCGCGGCGACGACGTCACAGAAGCGCACCCCAACCGATGCATTTACACAATCACAAATACCACGCGACACGCACTTGATGTCAGGCGCCTGATTTGATAAGTCTGTGCACCGTATCCGTCACGAACGTCACCTGGCCCCAGTGCGTCGGGTCGGGACTCGTCAACGCAAGCTCGGACACCCATTCTGGAACAGGAGATGCAGTCGCCGTCACGGCGAGAGCCAACGCCAGCGTTCGCAGCAATGCCATCAAATCGCAACTGCCCTGGCGACACCCACGCCCAAGGCATCCTGGAGGTCGAGCCGCTGGAAGATCCCGCGCTCGAATTGCGACGGGTGGCTGACTTCAGCCAAAGTGGCTAGGAGAGCATTGAGGGCTTCGTCGCGCCAAGTGGCGTAGAGGCGAGGGTGCCCCAGCATCCACATCCTCGGGGAATTCTAAACCACAAACCTCCTCCTCCTCGTATTTCTCCTCCTCGTATTTCTCGTCTCCCCCCCCAATTACCCCTCTCCCTTTCTCCCCGCATTCCTCATATCCCCCCCGCATTCCTGCGATTCCTCGTCTTCCCACGTCGCCCCGCTCAGCGGGGGCGCACGGGGCGGGGGGAAGGGCGGGGAGCAGACGACGCAGAGGAGGGGAGGTGGAGGCGCAAGGGGTGGCAGCCCCGCGGCGTCGCGGGCCTGGAGGGCGGCCCGTCGATGCTTGATCGCCCCGTCCTCCCCCCAGGGGCCCAGCTGCGCCTCGACCAGAGCTTCGGGGGCGCCGCTGCAACATTGCCCCCCGCCCCCTCGCGCCCGAGAGCGACGGCCCCCGAGCGCCCGCGGGCAAAGGCGCATCCACTTCGCGACGGCCATCGACAACGACAACGCAGCGAGCTTTATTATGGAGGCGCCACCGCCGCTCGCTGCGTTGCGCCTGTCTGCCGACCCCACCGTCGTTGAGCATGCGGGCGTTGACTTCTCTTGGGGAATAACGTTTCACGTCTCCAGGCGTGTCCACCGAGGGCGGAGGACAACCGACCGGTCCACCGATGCACCGTGGATGCGCCATCGATGCGCCATCGATGCGCCATCGATGCGTCATCGATGCGTCATCGATGACGCATCGATGATACATCGGTGACGCACCGATGACCGGTGTGGCTAATTGCGCACCGTGACAATCAATCATACGCATGTGTACGGTGCATCGTGGATCGGTTGACATTGCTCTACCGGACACGCTCACGCGCGTGCAAAGCCCCCGAGGGTGCTGGAGGTAGGATCGAGAGTGTTTGGATACGGGTCCTGCTGTTCATATGCCAAAACAAATGATGTTTGGGCTTCCTGGGGATACCTGCCCTGCGTAGGTGAAGTAGGTGTCGAAGAGCTAAGTTTTTCAGTCTCATACACCCCTCATCAGATGGTAGATCTGGCTGCGCAGACAGCTCGATGTACCACTCAAGCAATGCCTGCGAACACGTCCTCAACGCTGGGCCACGCACAATGCGGTTATAATACTTCGGCAGCAGCGTCGACGTGCACCATCGAAAAAGATCTTGTGTTTCGGCTGCCTTGGCCTTAATCGCATGTTTGTCTGGCTTCCCGAACATCCCAGTCGACAACGTTTCGATCTCGTTCGGAGCGTGCCCCCTCGATTTCTCAGCAATGTACCACTGGTTTAATTCGACCGTCAAACGGCTAATCCCGATGCTAAACCGCGCATCTTGGTTCGGGCCACGGCAGACGAACACGTCAGAAAGAAGCAACCTCCAAATAATGGCACAAACGACCGACCCCATTACTCCAAGCGCAACCGTGTGGAGGTAGTCCACGCCCAGATTGCCTACCAAGCTCAGGCCAAGGTTGTTCATATATAGTGGGTGCGGGGCCGTCGTGAGCGTCGCTCGCGAGGGCCGCCAGAAACATAACCAGCACGGGGTTGGAACTACAGCATGCAAGCAGACATCTCCCAGGCCCTTCTGGGGTAGAAGGCGGCCCCCAGGGGCGAGGGCCGCGCTGCGATCGTTCATCGCAGTTCATCGCAGGCACATCCAATCCAACAGTTAAGCCCTTGCCACCCTCAATGCGGCCATCGAAATACATACCTGTTGTGCCCCACAATCGAGCCCGATCAAACTCAGACTCTATCCGAATCCACACTTCTGCTCTATGTGTCGCGTCCAGGTGGTCGCCAACTTCGTGGTCCACCCAGGGCTCAAGCTCGTCATCTTCGAGGAGGCTCGAAGCGTTTACTTCTCATTCATGCATCAGGGGGGGAGGGGGAATTCGCCACTCCGACGCGTGGACGGCGGCGACAATCAGATGCGCAAGTGGCGAGTCGGCCGAACTCGGCGCGAGCCTGCGATCTGATCTGCTACCGCCAGCCATGCGTCAGATTGATGCATTGCCCCACCCTCCCCCCTCGCGCGCGCGACATGCATTGCGCGCGCTGCCCGACGCCCTCGCCGTCCTCCCCCCTACCGGACTCGGCCTCCACCCTGCGCCCTACCACTCGCTCATTATCCCTCCCTCCGTCATCGCCACATTGCACCCTCCATCCACTCACCATCACTGTGTAACCCAAATAAATCGAAGGCGCTGTCCTGTATCGACGCATGTTCTGGCGACTGGCGTCGCAGAGAGGGCAACCAAATTGTTTGGATGACCAGGGCGGCACCAAGAAATACTGACATACTGCCTCCCAATCCGCCATGATAAAGCAGACGGCGCCCTTGAAACCGATGCTCTTACCACTGAGGTTGATCCGCTCCTGCTCTGTGGTGGCAAACTCCCTGCCGTCCCAGTCGAGCGACGGGCACGTGCCATCTGCAAGCGTTTTCAGACTCCAGGCCAAGAATGTGTAGAACCTAGAGTATGAGCAGCGGCCCTTGCACCCACATCGGCAATGTACCTGTTTGCGAAACACGATGCCCACGTGCCGCCGCTGCGTGCACAAGTTGACAATTGACACGTTCACTACACTTCTGGTCCGCCCAGCGCCAGCACTACCCCCATACTGGGCACTGTCGACATATATAGCTAATGGGACCACGAGTTCACCAGGCCCAGCACCAAGAACGACGTCGTGGTCGCGGAACACGGGCGGCCAATCTGTCTCCTGAATGTGTTGCCGCACTGTGAAGTTGGTCAACGGTTTGTTAATTTCACATGCCAGCATGTCGTGGCATGGGCGCGCTGGGACTTGCACGGTGGTTCGGCTCCGCGATTTGCGGAAGTGGCACGGCGCGCCCAACGGCATCGGCTCCACTATGTCGATGCCTGATGCGCGGATCTGCTTCTCGATGTGCCGACTGCAATGCCCTGTTGTTGGTTGAGCGCCGAGCCCCCACTGCTTAAGCCCACCACCCTTGGCCCCAGCTCGACTCGAATGGTGAGCTATAGTGCAAAAAGTCTTTGCCGTGATGTCCCCGACGCAAAAGAGGCGCTGGAGTTCCTCCAGCAGGACCCGGCCAGACTCGGCCCGTTCATCTGGCGACGCAGGTGGCGATATGGTGCGCTTCCTACTCATGCGGGGCGGTGGCGCGCTTGAGCAGTCGCGCCTATGGCAAGACACCAGTCATGCATCACGATCGATCAATCGCATCCTCATCCCCTCTCCCTCCCCCCATCTCCCCCCCTACACCCGCCCCCGCGCGCGCGCCGCGCAGTGCGCGCGCAAGAGGGGGAATGGGGGAGAGAGGGCGGATGGGGAGAGGAGGGGAAGGGGGGGGGAGGGGGAAGGAGGACGCCAAAGGGGTCGATGGGGGAGGGGGAAGGGGGATGGGCAATGGGGTGGATGAGATAGGGGGAGGAGGGCGGGCGAACCTCTCGAACTGACCGCGCGCGCGCCCCCCCCGTGGGCGACGGCGCGCGCGCGCGCGCAAGCATGCGCGAGACGCGCTGGACACGCTGGAAATTCGACCACGCGGGGCGTCATCGGTACGTCATCGGTCGATCATCGGTGCGCCATCGGTCGGTCGGCCGTCATCGATCAGCCGCCATTGGAGAACATGTGTAAAAACACAGGGTATGAGGAGTGGGCTCATCGGTGGATCATCGATGATCCATCGATGAGCGTCATCGGTGCGTCATCGGTCGGTTGTCGGCCGGTCGGCGGTCCAGGCGCCGGTTTCGCCGCGCACGAACGGCAAGTTGCACGCCGTGCCGCGCGCGCGCACGTTCGGGTCCCCAGGTCACAGAATCACCCTGGCTCCAGCTCGCCAATGCGAACTATAAGCGAGCGTCTGCTGAATCCCAGCGACGCGCACATGCCGAGCAGCCGCCGACGCTCTCCTATTCGTGCCAGACCAGTCGACCTGGCCACAAACCCTTAAAATCAGAAGGCGCCGTGCCCGCACGGCCGTCAGCAAAGCGCATCGCGTGCCCATGCACTGCGCATGCGCGCGAGAGTGCTCTGTTCAGTCATGCTTCTTCCTCGCGCGCGGGCGCTTGGCCGCGCCGCCCCCACCGCCGCCCTCGAGCTTCTTCAGCAGCAGGGCCTCGTGGGCCGCCATCGTCTGCTGAAGGTTGGTATTCAGCTTGTTGCCATCCTCCTGCGCGCGGCGCAAGGGCAGGGGCGGGCAGGGCGACGAGCGAGCAAGGGGAGAGGGCAACGTCGCCGTCGACGTCGTCGACGCCATCGACGAGGACGGGGGGGAGCGATGCGGAGGAGGAGCAGGAGGAAGATGAGGACCAGAGGGTGGAGGAGGGGGACGGGGGATCGATGAGGAGGGAGGATGATCGAGGGGAGAATGCACGCGGGGGAAGGGCCTCGAGGGGAGAGAAGGGGGGGGGGGGAGTGGCATAAGGGAGGGGGGAGGGAGGGTGGAGGACGGGAGGAGGGAGGGGGGGGAAAGGAGCGGAGGGAAGGGATGGGGGAGGGAAGGAGGCCAGCATTCTGCAGGCGTCCTTCAAGGCCTCGACGGCTTTTGGTTCGCAGAGCACCTCGATCTCGCTGTCGGTCAAGCCCTTCTTGGCCTGGGGAGGACGGGGGCGGGCCCCCCCTCGTTCCCCGAGCCCCCCTCCCTCCCTCGAGCATCATCCATCCCTCCTTCGTTTCTCCCTCCCTCCCACGTCCTGCTCCTGCTCATCGCCCAAGTCCCCCCCCCTCCCTCCCCCATCCCCCCATCCTCGCCCATTGCTCCTCGCCCTCCCCCCGTCAAACCTCTCATGCCCTTTGTCCTCCTTTATCCGCACCCACCTCGCCCCATCGTCATCCCCCGCCTCGCCCCTCCTCATCATCGGCGCCGCCGCCGACGCCGTTGGTTCAAGCATCGCGAGCCGTGTTCAGCTCGGTGCCCCGCATGATCTTGTTCCAGAGCTTGTTGGACTTCACCGTGGCGTCGATCTTCGCATGCGCGTCCCTGATCCTGCCGATGACGGCCGGACTCCTCGCCCAGGCCCAGTCGTCACCCTTGGACTCCAGGTCGCCCTCGCCCACGTCCTCGTCGATGGTGGCCTGGAGCGACGTGGAAGACTGGAGCACGCTCTGCAGGCCGACGATCACCCTGCGAGCCTGCTGCAACCTCTTGGTGGCCTCGCTCGCGGTCTTCTTGCCAGTCTTGCTGCCCGCGGGCGGGGCGCCCCCCCCTCCAGCAGGTTCCTCTTCGTCATCTTCTTCTTCGGGTTCGTCATCTGGGCCCTCGGCCTCGCCGTCGTTCTTGATCACTGGCGTCTTCCTCGCGGCCGCCTTGCCACTGTCGCAGATCGCCTTCTTCTCCGACTGGGTCTCCGTCTCCGACCAGCGCTGCGTGAACTTCTCCTGGTACTCCTGGCTGAACCACATGAACTTGACGGAGCCGTTCTGCTCGTCGACGGCAACGAACGGGTATCCCATTGAAATGCACCTAGTGCACGCCGTGTAACAGTCATTGATGGTCTTCTCGTCCCATAGCACATGCGAAGGAAGCCGACCATCTTGCCATTCTTGATCCAGCTCTCCCAACGAGGTGGTGAACTGCCGCTGGCGCTTGACGGCGTCCGCGTACTGCTTCACGACCCACTGCTTCTTCCACTCCTCCACGTCGGGGGCGCTGTTGAACTGCTTCTTGACCTTCGGGTTTTGGAGCTCGCGATTCAACCGCTGCCCCAGCGCCGACCGCATGGTGAAGGCATACGTTTTGTTCTCGACGATCTCCTTGGCCTGCGCGTCGCCCTTCGCGTACTTCTTCTGCATGCCCGATCCATTCGCGTACTTCTTCTGCATGCCCGATCCATCGGGCGGGGCGGGGCGGGCCCCGCCGCCCTTGGACTTAAAGAACTTCGCCCGCTGGCTCTCGTCGCGCACGAGATGCAATGTCTCCGCCGTCAGCTTCTCCTGGAGTGACTGGGCCAGGCACTTCTCGGGCGTGTCGCTCGGCATCCTGCTGGAGTTCGGTATCATTCCTCTTCGTCCTCTTCATCCACCTTCTCCCCATCCTCTTCATCCGCCTCATCCTCCCCCTCTTCCCCCCCCCCCTCCTCCCCCCCTCTTCATCCTCCTCCCCCCCCTCCTCTTCATTCCATAGGTATCCCCCCATCCCCTTTATCCTCATCCTCCCCCTCCTCTATTTCTCCACCCTCTCCCCCTCATGTCCTCATTGCCGCCCTTGTCCCCTTCGGCCCGCCCTGTCCCCCCCTCGCCCATCGCCCTTACTCCCATCCCCCTAACAATCATGAAATATGCCTCGCCTCCCACCCCTCCCCCGCCGCGGAGGGTCCGTGCGCCGACCTGCCCCATCGGGGTGTTCACCTCGATCACCGACTCCGAGACCGAGCAGGCCGAACTCGGCACCTGCGTGGGCCGCCTGGACCGCCTCTGGCACGAGGGCGGATCGACCGGATCCAGCTGCTCGTGCGGCACCGCCCGCTCCTGCGCCATCTGCACCTTCTCGACGTTGCCCATGGGTGACTCGTCCGCGAGCTTCGACAGCCCGCAGCTCTTCTTCTTCTTCTTGGGCCCAGCCTGGGGCGCCTCGGCTGCTGGCGCGGCGCTGTCGTCGTCAGGCGGCTTGCCCGCGCGCCTGCCCGCGACAGCCGGACTCGGCGCCGCTGCGCTCGCCGGACTCGGCGCCACCGCGGCGCCAACGTACGCGCCCTCCAGACTCGGCGCCTGGCTCGGCGCAATAGCGCCCTTCGAAGAGACGCTCACCGCCGACCCTAAGTCCGACCCTCCGCGCCGCCCACAACCGTCGCCTCGCCATCGGCAGATGGGGAGGCGGGGCGGGGCGGCACGTTAGAGTATGGACGTGTGGTCGTGGAGCGTATCTGACCTTGTTCTTGCGGCGCTTCTTCTCCTCGTCCCTTTCACCAGCTGCCTCGCGTCGCCCTTGTCGCCCACGTCCTCGGATTGCGGCGCCTCCTCGAGGTCATCGTCGTACGTCTGCGCCCTCGGCCAGCGTGGATCGTGCCAACTCTTGTCGTAGTAGTACTGGAACGAGTCCTCGCGGTCGGGGTGCGCGTCGTGCCGCGCCTGCTCCATGCGGTTTTTCTCATCATCGGAGGCATTCTCGTAGTCTTGCCACCATTCCGCCTGCTTCGCACCCCACTCTTCGGCATCGAACAGGAGCTCGCCGTGCCCGCCACTCGCCGCCGCGCCGTTGCCCTGATCACCGTCATCGCCATCGGCCGTGTCAGTCGACGCGGACTGCCCGCGGCGACGCTTCGAAGAGCGCAGGCTCCTGCGGAGCGCCTTCTCCAAGTCTGGATCAGGCTTGGCCGCCGATTCCCCGACGATCTTGACGTCCTCGGACTTCGGTGAGCCCAAGAGGGGGGCATCGTCGCTCGAGTCGGGGTCGCACTGCGCGCCTGCGGCGGGATCGGGGGCGGGGAGGGCGACGGCGCCACACCTCCTATCATACTGATGCATGATGCCACTCTTCAATCTTGTCATGTTCCCTCCTCCCTCGTCAAACAAACCCTTGATCATCGTCCCGATTACCCTCCTGATCCTCATCATCCCCCTCCTCCCCCTTAAATTATACGCATCCCCCCGCGATCCCCCTATCCCCCTCCCCCTGATGTCATCATCCACCACCCCCTAATCAGTGCTACCTCCGTCGTGCCCCCTCTCCTCTCGACACCCTCAAAATCATCCGTCGCCCATCCGCTCCCTCGCCCCCCCCCGCGTTTCCTTCGCCACCATGCCCCCCTCATGAATCCTTTTCCACCGCCGACCTGCTGTCTTCCTCGCTCATCCCTCATCCCACCCACCCCCCCTTGCCGCGCCTGCTGGCGCCAGACTGCCGCCGTCCGCGGGGGCGCCCGCGGCCGCGCCGCCGCCTCCGGAGCAGGGGGGGTGGTCTCGCTCTCTCTCTCGCCCCCCCTCGTTCATTCATCGAGTTTATGCATGGCCGATGCGTCCGCACGGAGAATATCTGATCATCGACGCGTCATCGATGCGTCATCGATGACGCATCGATGACGCATCGATGACCGCATCGCCGATGCATCGACGCTGTCCCGCGCGCTCGCAGGCGTGCGACCGGACGACGGTGGAGGAGATCGACCGGACCAGCGGGGCCAGGCCCGCGCCACCCTCGCCGCCCCTCCCCGAGCACGGCATTGCAAATATGGGAGGGGGGGAAGAATAACGTCGCGAGGGGGGAGGGGCGAATGGGGGGCGGGCAGGGGATATCCAAACCAAGAGAGGACGAGCGCGAGCACACCAAGGCGGATGCGGGCGAGGAAGATGGGAGAAGCAATTGATGGCGTGGACGGCGACGAAGGCGACGATGAGGGGCATTTAGATTGATCGGGGAAGGGGGAGTGGCGGGCCTGGGGGGCGGGGGAGGTCGGGGCAAGCTGGGCGCGGCTGGGAGGATGATGAGGACGCGAACGAGGGCGATGCTGCAGGTAACGAGGCGAGGGGGGAGCAGATGACGATGAGGGAAGGGCGGCGGGGGGGCCCTGAGGACAGGGGGGAGGGGGTGGGCGGGCGATGCCGAGGATGACGAGGAGGAGGCACTAGGATGATGAGAGGGATGATACGAGGGAAGAGGACGAAAAGGAGGAGGAGGAAGATGGGGAGGAAGGGGAATGGGGAAGGGGCGAGGGGGGGGGACGGAGAGAAGGAGGATGGAGAGGAGGCACTCGTTCTGGTCGCCCGCTCGCGTGCTGCAGCATGCGCGGAGCGCACAGCAGCGGCGCTGACGCCCGCTCGCGCCTGCGCAGATCGCACCCCCCCTCGGAGTCGACCAGCGACCCGAGAGGCCGAGTCGCCTCACGGGCTTTGAAAATCCGCGGCGTGCGCAGGCGATGCAACGCGGCAGCGCGCCGCCCACGTGCATCCTCGAGCCCCTCCTTCCTCCATCGACCCCCTCCGCGTCCCGATCATCCCCCCTCCGCGCCATCCTAAGCCTCCGCCCCGCCCTCCACCTCTGCCGCGCCCTCCTCCTTCTCCCCCCTCCCCCATCCTCGATCATCTTTCCTCGCCCCTCCCGCCTCCCCCTGATCAGATCCTCTTCATCCTCCTCCGTCCTCCTCCTCCTCCTCCTCCTCTTCCTCCTCCTCCCCCTCATCCTCCTCCCCCCCTCCTCATTCCACCCCTTCGCATTCCTTCCCACCCCCCGTAGCCCTTCCCCCGCCGCCTCCACTTCCTTCCCCTCCTCTTCCATCGGTTAGCCCGAGGCCGAGCCGCGCGCGGGCCTCATCGGCGGCGGCAGCCACCGGACACGGCTGCGCGCGCTACGTGCTGCCACCGAAGTTGCGCATCTGGTCGAAGAGGCCGAACGGCATGGGCGGTCCGATCTGCTCGACCTCGCTCTGCTCGGGGCTGACCTCTGGCGGGTGCTCGTCGCAGGCTGGCTTCTTCATGTGTTTCTTCATCGCCGTCGTCCTTGCCTTGGGCTTGGGCTTCGCCGCGGCGCTCGCGGCGTTCGCCTTGGACTTCACCTTGGGCTTCGCCTGGGTCCTCGCCGCGGGCTTCGCTTTGGACTTCACCTCGTCGTCCGCGTTCGTTTCCACTTCCTCTGGATCTTCCTCCTCCTCTTCCTCTTCCTCTTCATCGAGTTCTTCCTCTTCTTCTTCTTCCTCCTCGTCTTCGGGCTCGCCCTCGTTGGCTTTGCCGCCATCGTCTTCGCTCCTGCCGTCTTCGCCGTCACCAGGGTCGGACTCCGCCTTGCTGACGCACCCGCCGCCGACGTCGTCACCGGACTGCGCCGCGGCAGGCCGCTTGGCGCAGCCGCCGCCGCCGCCGCCGCCTTCGCTGGCAGCAGGCCGCTTCTTCGCCGATCCACTCGAGTGGATCTTCTCGACCTCCGCCTTCTTCGCCTTGAGGTCCCCCACCTTCATCTTGTTCGCCGCCAGGAGCTTCGCCCACGTCACCGCGTACTTCCTCGCATAGCCCTCGGGCGCGGCTTTGAGCGAGAGCTGCGCCTTCTGCGACCCGTCGACCTTCACCGCCGCTCCAGGGTTATCGCGATCCAGCTGCTTCGGCGAGGCGACGTACGTGGTGCCATCCGCCCCCTCCGCGCTCAGCAACTTGAGGGAGTTATTGCCGCCTGCTGCCACGTGCATGCCGCGCCGCGCGCTCGTAGAGCGCCGAGAGCTCGCTGACGTAGCCATCGGGCCACTTCGCCCACATGAAGTGGTGGCCCTTGGCGCCCTCCTCCGCGTAGATGTCCACCGTCGGCTCAGGCGCCGTGCCTTTCGCCCTGCGGAAGGCGACCCGCGTGGTGGCGTCGTAATCCACCTTGTACTGCGTCTCGGTGGTGCTGTCGGCGGCGCACGCTGCTGGGGGCGTCGGCGCAGCTGCCCGCCGCGGCGCGCCTGCCGCCTGCTGTTTGGCCCGCGGCGTCACGAGCCAGCTCGGCGTCTTGCCGCCGGTCTGCTCCTTTCTGATCGGGTCGTACAAGTGGCGGAACGTACTCCTGATCATCTTGCCCTGCAGCTCGGCCCACTCCGTGATCGCGTTGTCCTCCTGATCCTTGAGCTCGGGGATGTCCTTCGCGAGCTGCGTGAAGGCTTTCGCGCGCGCCGTCGAGTTGAAGCTCAGGTTCGGGGCCGCTGCTTCAAGAGCCGCGATCATCTGGGGGGGTCCGCGTTCCTCCCTCGTCCTCCCCCTGCCCATGCTCCTCATCCCCCTCATCGTCTCGTTCATCCTCCCCCCATCCCATCTCCCCCTCATCCTCCTCTTCCGCGTCCGCCTCTCCTTCATTCCTTTCCTCCACTTCCTCCTTGTCATCCCCCCATCCTCGCCCTCTTCCTCGTCCTCCTCCTCATCCTCATCCATCGCCCCCATGTTCCACCCTCCCCCCATTCGGTCTCGCATGTGTCCACTGCCACCCCCTCCGCCCGTCGTCGTCGTCGTCGTCGTCGTCGTCGTCATCGTCGTCGTCGTCGCCGTCCTCCCCCTCCTCCTCCTAATCCCACTCCTCCGTTTTAGCCCAGCGCAACCTCGTGATGCGCCAGGATCGCGTCCGCGCAGCTCTCGTCCAGCTTGTCGCGGCCAGGGTGGGCCCCGTACTTCAGCCAGCCCCGCCTGCGCGCGAATGGGCGAAGCGCCGAGGTGATGGCCTCGACGTCCCCGCATCGCACGCGAGTCGACTCGGCGTCGTCGTCCTCCGCCACGCCCCCGCCGCGGGGGCCAGGGGCGCCAGGGCCCCTCGGCCCAGGGGGGCCAGCCGAAATGGCTCCACCGGTCGACCGACGACACCAACGAGAGGGCGACATGGCGAGGATGACGATCAACGAGGAGGAATGGGGAGATGAGGAGACGTGAATAAATGTTGCGGAGGGCGGGGGGCGATGGCAACGATGGCATCACCGAGGACGGCGTGAAGGGGTGCAGAAAGGAAGGCGACGACGAGGATAAGGACGAGAAGGCAGAGGCTGAGGACACGTCATCGATGCGTCATCGATGACGCATCGATGACGCGTCCTCAGGGGGGAAATCGAGGAGGGAGGAGGAGGAGGAGGAGGAGGGCGGTGAAGATGGAATTAACGAAAGATGAGGAGGGCAAGAGCATGGAAGATGATAAGGAGGATGACTTGGGCGGTTGGAGCAGAGGAGAAGGCAAGCGAGCGAGGGTTACGAGAGGGATGACGATGAGGAAGCACTGAGGAGGATGCGGAGGATAGAATTGGAGAAGGACGGGGATCTACATGGAAGATTGGATATGGGAGGTGGGGAAGAGGGAGGGGGGTGGCATCGGGGCAGGTTTTTGGATGGAGGGGGGAGGAGGAGGAGGAGGAGGAGGAGGAGGAGAGCGACGACGACGACGCCCGACGACGACGACGACGACGACGACGTGCGGCGAGAGAGCACCAGATCCGCCTTGCCGCTCGGCCAGCAGCAGCTCCGCCGCCGCCGCCCCGTCGGCGGCGCCCGGGCTGCCCTCCGCGACCGCGACCGTGTCCATGGCGGCGGCGGGCTCTGGGCCGCTGGGGCGGCGGCGGGGGGGGGGGGCGTTAGCCCTGGGCCTTCCAAAAACGTTTGGCAGATAGAGAAAGGGGAGAATAGGTTCGACCTGAGGCCTTGGTCATGAGGGCTGCGGATATGCGTGCGCGCATGTGCTCGCGTGCGTGCGCGCGCGCGTGCGTGCGTGCCCGCGTGCCTGCGTGCGTGCGTGCGTGCGTGCGTGCGTGCGTGTGTGTGTGCGTGTGCGCGCGTGTTTTGTGTGTGTGTGTGTGTGTGTGTGTGTGTGTGTGTTTGTGTGTGTGTGTTTGTGTGTGTGTGTGTTTGTGTGTGCCCGTGTGTTTGTGTGTGTGCGTGTGCGCGCCTGCGTGCCTGAGTGCGCGCGTGTGCGTGTGTGTGCGTGTGTATGTGTATGTGTATGTGTTGAGTGTCGTGTTCGTCGTCGTCGGTCGGTTTTACGTCAACGTCGTCGTCTTCGTCTTCGTCGTCGCCTGTCTCCGGTCGCGCGTCGATCGCCGCCCCCATCTCCCGAGGATGTGAAGGATTTTGGGAAAACGGAATAGGGAATGAGTCAGATGAGCACGATTTTTGTGTTTTCACAGCGTGTTGCCCCGCATCGCGCGCGCACTATAGCGCATTTGTCATTATTATAAGACAATCGTAAGGCGTAACGATTGTTTAGGAGTTTAGCTATAATACTATACATATATAGTACACTCAAGTATTAACATAAGCCTCGAGCCTTATTATAAGACTTGAGTGCTATTTCAAGACTTGAGTGCTAAAATAACGTCAGCTTTCCTAACATGAGTCTCACGGCCTATTAAAGCAAGTCTTGGCCCTCAGGGAGAGAGGAAAAGCAACTGCCGACAGATCGCCTACTGCCCATCCTCCCCTCAGGTCCTGGCGCACGTCCTCAGGGATCCTCTCGAGGACCTCCGGCTGGACCGAGAACTCGCCCGGCTCGCAGTGGATCAGGCTCAGCGACCTGTGGCCCGCGATGTGGCGAACCAGCGGCCGGCGCGCCTTCTCCTTGTCGCCCATCACGATCTCGTCGCCGCCGAAGTCTACGACGGCGTGCATCGCTCCCAGCAGGCGAACCGGCAAGAGAAGCGGGCACCTGCCGGGAAGAATCAAGAACTCGATGATCCCGCACTTGCAGCTGCTGACCGGCACCCAAGCTCGGCCAAACGGGCTCACCTTCCCGCCGACGCCACCGGCAGTCGCCCCGGCCACGGGGCCCTCCTTCACGAGGATGCGGAAACCGCGACGCTCGAACGCCTCCTTCATCACCTTCAGGCCCGCCTGTCCGACCAGAGCCTGGCCGGCCGCGGTGTCCACGAGGGCGTGGTCTCCGAGCTGACGAAGCGAACGCTCCGGGCCCTCCACGTGCGTCGTCTTGAGCAGCGCGTTCCACTCCGTGACGTTGATGCCGTTCCAGTCCGACTCCGGGAGTACGTCCAGGAAGAAACTCTTGCCCGTGCTCTCCCCCTCGCCGCCCTTCTCGCCGGCGATGCGGTCCGCCTTCGATCGGAGAGGGTTCTTGCACGACTCTGCCCAGTGTCCTCGCTCACCACAGTTAGCGCATCGGGTGCGCTTCTTGATGTCAGTCATCATGAGTCTCTTGAACCCGGGCTTCGAAGCCCGACGACGATCGAAGAAATCCCGATCTACCTTGCGAGCCGCTTTCAGTCGACGAGCCTCCGCCCAGGTCCTGCGCTTCTCTTTTCCGAGGCGGTCCTCGACCACGGCAGCAAAGATCTGCATGACCTCCTGCTTGCAGGTCCTGCTCGTCCAAGGTCGCCAGCAGCGTCTCCACGTCCTCCTCGGGCAATTCGACGGAGTCGTCCAACTCCGAGAGGAAGACCTCTCGCACCTCGTCGTCGGCCGCCAAGGCCGGCCCTCCGGAGCCAGCAGCCGCGTGCTGCACGTCCTCGGTCTCCACGGCGAACGTCATGACGACGGGCTGGGTCGTCGGCAGCATGGGCTGCTCCTTCACGTCCAGCTTCAGGATCGCCTGCCTGACTGAACTGAAATCCTCGCGTCCCCCCGCCAGCGTGCGCATGTTGATCTT